CGCGGCGTCGACCACGGCGCGTCCACCCGTGGGGGGCGTCCCGGGCGGGACGACGTAGGCGTCGAACGTCGCCGTGGACGCGTCGACGACGGGCGCGGCGCGCGCGGCGCGCGCCATGCGCGCGGTGGTGTGCGTGATGGGCGTTCGTGACTCTGTATACGTCTTACCGGGTGTTTTATGGTCCGCGTGTGCGTTATAGAGACGCACATAGATGGGTGTTTATGTATGTGTATACGCGCACGTGGCCTTTGTGTCCGTGCCGCGTGTCCTATGGTCCGCGTGTGAGTTATAGAGACGCACATAGATGGGTGTTTCGAACGTTGTATACGTGACGGGCGTCCTATCGTCCGCGTGAGACGCATAGAGATACACATAGATGGGTGTTTCGAACGTTGTGTACGTGACGGGTGTCCTATGGTCCGCGTGAGACGCATAGAGATACACATAGATGGGTGTTTCGAACGTTGTGTACGTGACGGGTGTCCTATGGTCCGCGTGAGACGCATAGAGATACACATAGATGGGTGTTTCGAACGTTGTATACGTGACGCGTGTCCTGTGGCCCGCGCGCGCGTGCGCCCCGCAGAGCCCCGCGCGCGATGGCGCCCGGCGAGCGCGACGGCGGCGCCGAGGCCGCGGCGCGGTACCGGCAGTACGAATACAAAGCGGTGCGTGCGCGTCGCGCGCGAGAGACGGGACGACGGGACGACGGGACGACGGAAACCGATGCGTCGATCGAATGCGACGACGGCGGCGATCGCGTCGCGGGCGACGACGACGAGCGACGACGACGCGCGCGCGCGGTGACGTCGCGCATCGCGGGCGGAAGCGACGGGATGGGGCGAGGATGGCGAACGTTGACGACGCGAAACGGATGACTGACGGGACGATGACGGTGATTCGTGAAACGCGCAGAACGCGTCGCTGGTGCTCGAGAGCGACCGGCGCGGACGGGGACGGGGCGAACCGACGGGCGCGGCGGAGTCGTTGCTGGGACGGATCGATCCGGGACAGTTTGGAGACCGCGTTGGGGTCGGGGCGGCGAGGGAATTCGCGGACCAGCGGTCGAGGGCGGAGAAGCGCAGGGCGGAGAAGCGCGCGAGAGGCGAGCCGGGCGACGAGAGAGGCGATAAGAGGAGACACGCGGGCGCGAGCATTTTGGGTGGCGGTGATTTGGGATTGTATAAACCGAAGACGCGGGAGACTAGGGCGGCGTACGAGGGGTTGCTGAGCGTTTTGGCGAGCGTGTTCGGGGATCAGCCGCAAGACGTCATGCGCGGCGCCGCGGACGAGGTTTTAGCCGCTCTGAAGGAGGAGGGAAAGACGGAGCGTGAGAAGCAAAAGAGCGTGGAGTCACTCATGGGCGAGCTCACGACTGAGCGTTTCGCGCAGATCACGGCGATCGGGAAGCTCATCACCGATTTCTCGATCCCGGGCGAGAACGAGGGCGGCGCCGGCGAGGAGTTGGACGACGACATCGGCGTCGCCGTCGAGTTCGAGGAGGAGGAAGAGGAAGACTCCGAGGTTGACGAGGTTCTCGAGGCGTCGGACATCGACGAGGACGACGAGGGCGACGAGGTTGAGTACGCCGCCGCCGTGGGTGGTATGATGCAGGACGAAGAGTACGCGCCAAACGCAGACAACGGGCTGAACCCGGCGGACATCGACGCGCACTGGTTGCAGCGCGCCATCTCCAAGGCTTTCGGTTTCACCGACTCCGACGCCGCGGAGAGCTTGGATCTCTCCGAGGAGGTTTTCAAGGCTTTGGCCACGGATGACGATCGTGATTGCGAGAACGCTCTCGTCTCCCTACTCGACTACGACAAGTTTGACTTGATCAAGGTGCTCTTGAAGAACCGGTTCAAGGTGTACTGGTGCACCAAGCTCGCGCGCTCGGCGAGCGAAGCCGAGACGGCGGATATTGAAGAACAGATGAAGGCACATGCTGAATCGGCCGATATTTTGGCCGCCATGCGCGCGACGCGAGCCTCGGCGCGCGATCGCCAGACGGCAACGGAGCAGAAGATTCGCGAAGAGGCGCGAAAGCTTCGCAGTGAAATGGCGCAACAACGAACGCAAGCCGGCAGCGGTGCCGCCGCAGCCGGACGTCAGCTCTTAGAGCTAGACACTTTAGCGTTCGCGCAGGGATCACACTTCATGAGCAACAAGAGATGCGAGCTCCCGCCCGGTTCGTTCCGCAACGCGAAGAAAGGATACGAGGAAGTGCACATTCCCGCCTCAAAACCGAAGCCTTTCGAGGATGGTGAGGTGCTTCGCTCCATCGAAGAGATGCCGTCTTGGACGCATCCCGCTTTCGAGGGGATGAAGAGCCTCAACCGCGTCCAGAGCCGAGTGTACGAGTGCGCGCTCCTGTCGCCCGAGAATATGCTCTTGTGCGCGCCGACGGGCGCGGGTAAGACGAACGTCGCCGTTCTAACCATCCTGCACGAGATCGGTCTGCATCGTAGACGCGATGGCACGGTCGATACCTCGGCGTTCAAGATTGTGTACGTGGCGCCGATGAAGGCGCTTGTTTCCGAAATCGTGGGTAACCTGAGCAATCGTCTCAAGTCTTTCGGAATCAAGGTGCGAGAATTGACTGGCGACGTCTCACTGAGCAAGGCTGAAATAGAGGACACGCAAATCATCGTGACGACGCCTGAAAAGTGGGACATTATCACGCGCAAGTCGGGTGACCGCACGTACACGCAGCTGGTGAAGCTCATCATCATCGATGAGGTGCACCTTTTGCACGACGATCGCGGTCCAGTACTTGAATCGATTATCGCCAGGACGGTACGACAGGTCGAGTCGACGCAAGAGATGGTGCGATTGGTCGGTCTTTCGGCGACGCTTCCGAATTTTGAGGATGTCGCGACCTTCATGCGCGTGCACCCGGAGAAGGGCTTGCACGTGTTCGATGGTACGTTCCGACCGTGCCCGCTGCAGCAGCAGTACATCGGCGTCACCGTGAAGAAACCACTGCAACGCATGCAGCTCATGAATGAAATTTGCTATGAAAAGGTTATGGAAAGCGCTGGTAAGCACCAAGTGCTCGTCTTCGTACATAGTCGCAAAGATACGGCAAAGACCGCGAAGGCTCTTAGGGATTTAGCCATGGAGAATGAGACGCTCGGCAAATTGATGCGAGACGATTCAGCGAGTAGAGAGATTCTCCTTACAGAGGCGGAGACGGTAAAGAGCTCGGAGCTCAGAGATCTGCTGCCGTACGGCTTCGCGATTCACCACGCTGGGATGAACCGGGCCGATCGTACTTTGGTCGAAGAGCTCTTTGCTGACGGCCACGTCCAAGTGCTAGTCTCAACGGCGACGCTCGCGTGGGGGGTCAACCTTCCCGCGCACACCGTCATCATCAAGGGCACGCAAGTGTACAACCCTGAGAAGGGAGGTTGGGATGAGCTCAGTTTTCAAGACGTCATGCAAATGATGGGTCGCGCCGGCCGGCCGCAGTTCGATACATTCGGTGAGGGCATCATCATAACGCAGCACTCCGAGTTACAGTATTACCTGTCGCTGTTCAACCAGCAACTTCCGATCGAGTCACAGTTTATCAAGCAGCTCGCAGACGCTCTGAACGCTGAAATTATCCTCGGGACGGTTCAAAATGTTCGAGATGCCGTGATTTGGCTGGGTTATACGTACTTATTTGTCCGTATGCTCCGAAATCCGACTTTGTACGGCGTCGCGTTCGACGCCGTCGAGGACGATCCCGTGCTCGAGCAACGCCGAGCAGATCTGATTCACACGGCAGCGGCGCAGTTGGATAAGAGTGGGTTAATTCGGTACGATCGACGAAGCGGTGCGTTGCAAGGGACGGATCTGGGTAAGATTGCCTCGACGTACTACGTCTCTCACGGTACTCTCATGGCGTTCAATCAGCACTTGAAGCCGACGATGGGTGACATCGAGCTTTGTCGCTTGTTCTCTCTCGCAGAGGAGTTCAAGTACATCAGTGTGAGACAAGAGGAGAAGATGGAACTATCAAAGCTGGCAGAGCGCGTTCCGATACCCGTGAAGGAGTCTATCGAGGAGCCGACGGCGAAGATCAACATCCTCCTTCAGGCGTACATAAGCAACATGCGACTCGACGGTTTCGCACTGATGTCTGACATGGTGTACGTCACTCAGAGCGCCGGGCGCATCTTGCGTTGTATTTTCGAAATCGTTCTCAAGAAGGGCTGGTCGCAGCTCGCTGAGAAGTCATTGGCGCTTTGCAAGATGTGCGCTCGAAGGACTTGGGCGTCGCAGACTCCGCTGCGTCAGTTTGCGGCGATTCCGTTGGATACACTGCAAAAGATTGAGCGCAAGGATTTGAGCTGGGATAGATACTATGATTTGAGTAGTCAGGAAATCGGTGAGCTCATGCGAGCGCCAAAGATTGGCAAGTCCTTGCACAGATTTATCCACCAAGTGCCCCGCTTGGAGCTCGCGGCACACGTGCAGCCTATCACTCGTAGCGTTCTCAAGGTGGACTTGAGTATCACTCCAGATTTCATCTGGGACGAAGAGCATCACGGCTACGTGCAAGGTTTCTGGATCATCGTCGAGGACAATGACGGAGAGAATATTCTTCACCACGAGTACTTCCTTCTCAAGGCGCACAACGCAGAGGAAGAGCACGGACTTTCGTTCACCGTTCCGCTGTCAGATCCGCTCCCGCCGCAGTATTTCATTCGCGTCGTGAGCGACACGTGGTTGGGCAGCGAAACGGTGATTCCGGTGTCGTTCAAACACTTGATGTTGCCGGAGAAAAATCCGCCTCCGACCGAGCTCTTGGACTTGCAGCCTCTCCCAGTGAGCGCCCTCAAGTCGGACGGTTTCGACAAGCTCTACGCCGGACGCTTCACGCACTTCAATCCGATTCAAACGCAAGTGTTCCAGTGCTTGTACAAAACGGATGAAAATGCTCTGGTCGGCGCGCCGACAGGCAGCGGTAAGACGGTGTGCGCGGAGTTTGCCATCATGCGGTCGCTTACTTCGGAGCGAGGCGGACGTTGCGTGTACATGGCCCCAACGGAGACGCTTGCGGACGAGAGATACGATGATTGGAGTGAGCGTTTCGGTGAATTGGACGTGGCCGTAACCAAGCTCACGGGTGAAACAACGGCGGACTTGAAGCTTCTTGAGAAGGGACAGATTATTGTGACGACGCCTCAGCAATGGGACGTGATCAGTCGTCGTTGGAAGCAGCGTAAGAACGTGCAGACCGTGTCGCTCTTCATCGCAGACGAGCTTCAACTCATCGGCGGTTCCATGGGACCGACGATGGAAGTTGTTGTGTCGCGGATGCGCTACATGTCAAGTCAGCTCGCAAATCCTGTGCGAGTAATTGGTCTGTGCGCATCGCTTGCGAACGCACGAGACTTGGGCGAATGGATCGGCGCCGCGTCGCACACGCTCTTCAACTTCTCCCCTGGTGTTCGCCCGGTGCCGCTTGAGATTCATTTCCAAGGTGTGGATATCATCAACTTCGAGGCACGTATGCAAGCCATGGCGAGGCCAGTGTATGGTGGCATCGCGAATCACTGTCGACGATCTGAGCCGACGATCGTCTTCGTACCGACGCGCAAGCACGCGAAGTTGGCGTCTCTGGACTTGCTCGCGTTCGCCGCCGCTGAGGGGCAACCAAACAAGTTCCTCCAGGTCGAGGAGAGCGATCTCGAGCCGTACTTACAGCAAATCTCGGACGCGTCCGCCCGCCACGCGCTCACGTTCGGTGTTGCGCTGATTCACGAGGCGATGAATTCCAAAGAGCGCAAGGTGATCGAACGCGTATTCGCTGTCGGCGCGGCTTCGGTTCTCGTCTCCACCGCGCCGTTGGCTTGGGGCCTCACGACTCCCTGCAAGCTCGTCGTCATCATGGGGACGCAGTACTACGACGCCGGTGGCGCGGGTGCGGCGGACTATGCCGTCACAGATCTACTCCAGATGATGGGCCGAGCTTCGAGACCTGGTATTGACGACGCTGGTGTCTGCCTGCTCTTGTGCCACGCGCCGAGGAAGGAGTACTATAAGAAGTTCTTGTTCGAGCCGTTCCCGGTGGAATCGCACCTGGACCACTTCTTGCACGACCCAATGGTTGCGGAAATTGTGACTCGTACGATCGAGACCAAGCAAGATGCCGTCGACTACATCACGTGGAGCTTCTACTACCGACGTCTGACGCAGAACCCGAACTATTACAACCTCACTGGCGTGTCACACCGCCATCTCTCCGATGCACTCTCCGAGTTGGTGGAGACCGTACTCGGGGACCTGGAGGCGAGCAAGTGCATCAGTATCGAGGACGATATGGACTGTGCGCCTCTGAACTTGGGGATGATATCGGCGTACTATTACATCACGTACACCACCATTGAGCTCTTCGCCGCGTCCCTCACGGCGAAGACCAAGCTCAAGGGCTTGCTCGAGATCGTCGCCGGTGCGACGGAGTTCGAGGCGTTCGCTGTGAGACCTGGAGAGGCGGAGATGATTCGCCGTATTTTGAATCACGCCCCGATCACGCTCTCGAGTAACAAGGCGACGGACCCGCACGTCAAGGTTGCCGCACTTCTTCAGGCGTACTTTGGCCGCGGCGCGCTCCACGGGGATTTCGTCCAGGATTTGCAGAAGATTCTCCCCGACGCCACACGATTGCTCCAAGCAATGGTGGACGTCATTTCATCGAACGGCTGGCTCGGCCCGGCCCTGTCCGCGATGGAACTGTCACAGATGATGGTCCAAGGCATGTGGGACAAGGATCCGGTGGTGATGCAGCTGCCGAACATCACCAAGGAGACGGGTCGACGATGCCTGGCCGCGGGCATTGAGAGCGTGTACGATTTGATCGATATGGAAGACGACGATCGACGAGAGTTGCTTCAGCTCAGCGACGAGCAGCTCGAAGAAGTGGCCGAAGCCGCGAACAGATATCCGAGCATTGAAGTCGCGTTTGACGTCACCGATCCCGACAACGTCACCGCGGGTGACGCGGTGGAGATCGTCGTCAATCTCGAGCGCGAGGGCGATGAAGAACCGGGCCCGGTGTATGCACCGAATTATCCGACCCGAAAAGAGGAAGCGTGGTGGCTCGTCGTCGGCGATGTAAAGAAGGGTACGCTCCACGCGATTAAGCGCATCACGCTTGGCAGAAAGCAAAAGGTCAAGCTCGAGTTCGCCGCGCCCGAGCAGGTGGGCAAGGCTGACTTGACGCTGTATTTCATGTGTGATTCGTACATGGGATGCGACCAAGAGTACGAGTTCTCGCTGGATGTCAAGGAAGGCGAAGACGACAGCGACGATGACGCGATGGAATAATTTCCAACGCGCGGCCGAAACCAGTTTGCGAGGAACCGACACCTCCGGTGCCGTTAGGTGTGTAGCAAAATACATTGTTGATACAAATTTAGGCTATTCGAAACGACGCAGCGAGCGCCCTGGATGATGACGCGCATCGGTACAGAGACGTCACCGCTCCCCTCTGCGCTCGCCGTGGCGCTCGATTGGCGACGACGTGGACGCGAGACGCGAAACGACTCGAACGCGAGACGACGTGCACACCCGCGACGCGACGCCGACGCGCGACGACCGGCGCGCTCACGCATATCGAACGATCCAACGCGGTGGTGACGACGCAGTCGCCCCGCGCGCGCTCGGCGCGATCCTCGACGCGATCGAGAAGCGCGCCCGCTCCAAACGTCGCCGCGCCGCACGCGAGGAGCGCGGGAGCCAACGCCACGGGATCGGCGAACGAGACGCGCGAGATGGCGAAAATCAGCACCAACGAGATCAAATTCGAGTAATTCACCAACGCCGCCGCAAAGGTGACGTCCAGCGAGAACTCCATCGCGTACGCCACGGTGAGCAGAGCGATCGGCGACAGCATGCACGTAACCGTCACCGCCGAACCCAACTCCCCGAGCATCGGCCCGATGCACGCCAACGTCACCCCCGCGCACATCATGGACGTCCCGTACCTGCGCGCCAGCGCGCTTCCGAGCGCACACAGATCCGCGCTCGCGATTTTCGGCTCGAACAAAATCCCGAGCGCGAGCATGGCGAACGTCTTATTCGCCCCCCCCAGAAACGCCAAGAACTCATCGATCGCCGGCGGAAACCCATTCGCGTGTCCCACCATCACTCTGTACGCGAACGCCACGACGACGGCGACGAGGCACGGATTTCGCGCCTGTTTCGCCACCGACGCCGCGACGCGCCTCCGCGTCGCCGCCCGTCGCGTCTCTCGGTCCCCGCCCACATCCGTCTCCGTCCGGTGCGCGTACACCGCGTGCGCGACGACGAGCAACCACACCTGATTCGTCGCGTCGAACACCACCGCCCTGCGCAAGCCTTCGACGCCGTACAGCGTCTCGCTCAATCCGTACGCGAAGTTCCCGAGATTCGCCCCGAGCGCGCTTCCCGACACCAACGCCGCGCGCGCGCGCGCCGCCACCTTCTTCTCCGCCAAGCAATGGGAGATCTTCGACATCGAGCTCGTCGACGTCAAGTCGTGCACGCGATCGGGCTTTGGAATGGTATCCAACGTCGTGTGCGAGTAGTAATTCCGTCTACCGCGAGTGATGCTTCTCTCATTTATGTAATACGTCGACGACGCTTGTCTCGCGTTCGCGCTCCGCGCGCGTCCGGCAC